GATCAAAGTACGTGATCCTGATAGCAGGCACTCAGGAGAAATACTGATATTGGTCACCAGCATTAAACCATAACTCAGAATAAAACTGATAGATCCTTTCTTATACAGTGGAATGAAATGAAATCTGAGAGGAATATGATTGGGATTACAAAGGATATCTGAAGCACACATATGGCGAAGGAAAAGCTCCTACTTAAACACAAAGACTGGCAATGAACACTGGGATGGCGGAACAACTTTGAAATAGTGGGTTAAAGAAACCTAAATGCTAGTAAATAGATTTTGATAGGTTTCTGAAAGGGTTAATATTTGATCATTGCCTCCAGTAAGAGTAACTGCACTGATAATTAAATAGGCTTCTTTACTTGTTCCTTCATTATGGAAGAATTACTCAGATCTGTTCAAGTTGAAGGTATAGACAGCTCTGAATGAAACAAATTAATATTTGTTAAATTTATTTTTTTGGCTTTTGACTCTTCTTTAAGGAAAGAACCTGAAAACTAAAACTATCTTAAGATCATCTTTAAAGAGGAACTGTGAATAACAACTGTTTCTCAGTGTAAGAAGAAAAAGGTAGATGAAACCGGGATTCCCAAATACCCACCTGACACGTGGACCCCTTGCTTCTGTCATGGCACTTTTCTCTCAGCACACCTTAGACAAAGCTCAAACACTGGCACTTTTTTGGTTTCTGTGCAAAGAATGATTAATATAATTGGTGATATATCGCCTCAATAATCCTTTAAATTTCCAGGTGATTTTTCTTCCTCTCCAAGGACACTGTCTCCTTTCAGCATTTTCTAATAAATATGTAAGAGTTTACCTGACAGGCAGCCAGATAAAGGGAGGCTGTCAAATCATTTCTCTACAATAGGAAACCCATTTCTATGAAGCACTCCTACAGTGACTGTGCATTGTGCAGGAATGGATTGGAGGAAGATGACCCATTCTTTTGATTCATATCTGCAGGGTTCTGGAATTTTGCTAAACATTTGTTGCAGTTAAATAATTATTAAATTGACAATATTCCAAGAAAAACAAAACATACACTTGATTTCACCGTGAAAATCAGGCAAAATAGCTAAGTGTGCTGTTTGTGTTTGATTTTGTTGGACAGCACAGTGCAATGAAATCACCAACTGTCAGATGTAAAATGACAACCAAATGCTTGGAGGCTGGAAGCATTCTGTCACTGTCATGCTGTGCATCATTTATGCCAGTAATCCTCAGGCACATCTGAGCAGCAGGACACACCAGATATTATCCTACTGCATGAGTGGAAAATGTACTTCAAGCAGCTTGGTGATAGTGCAATGATGGGATCCCAGGTGTTAAACCACCAGCAGCACCCTGAAGCACGCACAGAGCCTTGGCTGTGTTATTCCCCCAAAGCCATCACCGAGCACTGCTTCGTGCCTGTCCGGAGCAGGGGAAAGCCCTAAAGGCAGCTGCTGATGTAGAGGTGGATGGGGCAGGCTGAAGACAAGCCCTGGCAGTGAGCAGGCTCAGGAAAGGAGAACAGATCCATCTCAAACACAGAGATCTCCTGCTCTGCAGCTGACCCACACAAAGCTCCAGAGCACCACATCCCTGCTGCCAAGCCCAAAGTCATGCACCCAGACACCTGGGCTCTCAGCTCTGTGGAGGGACTCAGCCCTGCCCTTGAGCTTCACATCCTTTATCTGCACTTCACTCTGCCAGCCACCTAAAAGAGCTGCACACACAGACTAAAGCAAGAGGGGGTTTAGGCTTTCTACAGAAAGTGGCCTGACAGAAAGTCTGCTAGACCAAATGTAGCCATGGAAATGTATAAAAAAGAGAATTACTAAGAGACTGTGTGCTCAGTGATTTTCTTAATTCAAGTATACCTAAGGCCCAACTTTGTCCCTCAACTTTGTCCCTTCAAAGCCCACTGAGTCCAGGAAAACTCTCCAGGCTCTAATGAGTTTTAATAACTGGAGACTTTGTTTAAACTGTTAACAAACTGTCTCAATAAAATGAATTTTATCCTCTTTGTTCATGGGCTGATGAATAATAAAACTGATAGAAGATCTGGCCTGAGTAAATATGCAGGTCTATTTACAGATTTACAAAGGAAACCTTGCACAGCACCTGCCCACACATAATTCTGGCTCCTGGCACTACTTTAAGGAGTATTGAATTCCTTCCCACCCACACATCTTTACACAAGTAGAAACTTAAACACCAATTCAGACTAAACATTTTTGAATGCAGAAATCCTTGAGTGAAATAAAGAGAAACAGTGGTGTAAATGAACCTTTAATTTTCATCACATCCAATAACTGATGGGCTAAACCAGAGATTTTAAAACAGTGTATAGTTTATTTGAAGTTATTGATTCTCACTTCCAGCAAATTCCTGCTTCATCAGCACAATGTGTTTTCATTGGAGGCTGAGATCATCACTAGATATTACTTAGCAAGTGGAAAAAACTTTCTGTCCTGAATAGCTGTCAGAAAGAAGTGCCATACAGAATGACTTCTGAATTGCCATGTGAAGAAGGGCAGCAGCAGGATATTCCAGCCTCTGGTGGGCCCAGGGAATTTTTTCCACTCAGCTTTGAAAACACAGTCTATGAAAAGCGGCTAGGAAAGGTAGCTCAGTACTTTTATCACTGCAATTACGTATAATTAAGAGATTGGCATCAGCTACAAATTTTTAGGACTCCATTGATTCAGGGTGGATGGAAAATCACCATACAAGAGCAGTAATGGATGGGAGTATTAGATCTTGGCCACTGTCACTAATGTCCTGTGTTTAAAAAGAAAGATGATCTCTGAACATATCAATAAAAATAAGGATTTAACAGAGAGACATCTAATAGTGAAGGGTTTCCAGGAAACAGCTAGTGATCAAATTCATTATACCAATGTGACTTCAGGAGAAGAATTCAAAGTCAGACTGGGGTCTGAGCTTACCACAGTGTTCAAAGGATAAAAAGCTGATGGTTCTGTCTTTCCCTTCCGATTCCTCTGGTCTTTAGCAGGTTAGCAGCAGTCTGTCATCTTTTTCACAAATTACAACATGCTACCATATTAAAACAGCACCACCTGTAACCTGTATTTGGATACTGCAAGTCAATGAGAGGCTTGGGACATCTCCTGGCTCATCTCATAGTGACACTGACACCAGAAAGGGAGGTGAAATCCACCATTGCTGCTGACCAGCAGCAGAATTGCAGAAACCCTGGCTTCTTACACCATGGAAAAACTTGATGAATTCAGTGAAGTGCAAACATCCACAGTGCTACAGGCAGGGCACAAGGGAGGGGTCACAAGCTTGAGCAATGCTCAAACTCCACTTTGCCAAGCTCAACATGGGAAGACCACACTGCAGACCAGCCAGCTCCAGCACTGTTGGCTTCCATGGTGATTGCCAGTATCTCAGAGGAATATTTTCATTATGAAAAAATCCAAAATGAACTATTGCAAAAACCAGTGCTGACCTCCTGGACCTAATTCATACTTAACACTGTTTCACTTGCTGTAGCTGTATCAACTTTAGGGGAATTTACTTACATTAATGTACAAGAAAGGAAAAGGCGATGGGTTGTCTTAAGAAAAACAGCTTAAATCTTCAGAGCCAAACTGAACCCACACAAATGTAAAATAATGAGGATCTCAGATGGTTTCAGTTTATGAAGGTGGTACCTGAAGTCTACATTTCAAAGGCATGTGCATTTTGCATAATTTTCCTGCCTCTTCTGAACCCTTTCCTTTGTAATTTATGCTGTGTGTATTTTGAATTAAATAAAAATAATCAGTTTCTGGCACTGTTAACCATGAAATGGATTCTCTAAGTTTCACTGCATATTAATAAGACTTCTTTTGCATCCATTAAATATATGCATAATTAATTTACAGTCACAAACCTAAAGCTGGCATTGCTTAGAGAGAAAGTAAGATTAAGGTATTCCACACAAGACATGTTTGCTGTGCTTTCTACTTTTTTCTGCAGTCCACAGCATTTTACAAAAGGCTGGCCAGGAGTTCAGTTTGATAAATTAGTTCTTATGTTCATGAAATGCTACTGGCTTATAGATCCCTCAGGACCAGGGATAAATGTGATAACAAAATAACACACTAAAATGAGGCAGAACATCAGCCATCCAGTTACTCTGGCCCTGTAAGCTGCATCTGTGCTTCCTGAGTCAATGCATGGGGGTCTCCACGGATGGTCCTTATCCTTTTGCACAACATTTTCCACACAAGAGTAAAGAGATGAATACTTCATCAGTATCAGTTCAACCTTCAACAGGCTAAACCACAATATGCTTACACTTCTCTAAAAAAATGTTGAAAATGTTTCTTTCTTCATCATATCTACTGTAAAGTCAGTTTGAGGGAAGCATTGAAACTTGTTTACAGTTTTTTCTTCTATAACAAGACAGCTGCACCCAACTGGAAGATTGAATTACAGATCTCAATCAGTATCTTTGCTATAAACAGCTCTAAGAGTAAGTGCATCTGCTTGATCTTGAAGGGAATTTCCTATCCAGAGACCAGGCAGGAAAGGCACTAAAGACTTTATTCCAAAATAAGGAAGTACTCTTCCTTCATTTTAAAACATTGTACCTTCATTTTTCAGCTACTTTAAAGAGTCATCTCCTGAGGCTTGCTCCAGGAAATGTTACCAATAAAAGGGCAAGAAACTGTCTGGGACCAGGGGGCTTGGCCAGGCCAACCTCCTTTCAAATTAAGGCTATGTTGCTCAGACTTTTGTCTGAATTTTGAAAATCTACAAGGATTCCCATTCCAGAGCCTTTGCAAGTGACCTATCCCCAGGTTTATTTCACCATAGGGAATTTTGTGACATATCTTCTGCAGGCTGAACCGAATTCCCTCAACCAAAGCAGAGGTGAGAATAATAATTATTTCTTTGGACTTGCAGGCTCTTTTCCCTTGTAACCATTCCTGTTAGGATTTACCATAAATACACTGTCTCTTGTGTATATTTATATAATTAAATATAACACTCACCAGCCACTGCTGAGGTATTTCTGGCAGAGGCATTTGAGGAGGCGCCGGCAAACTGTTGGTGACTTCTTGCTTCTGGACATGTTCTTTTATTTCTAAACCTGTGGAAGAGCAACAAACATCACTTAATACCTTGGTGGATGCAAAGGGGATGTTTTCTCCACATGTGGATGCATGTCTGCCTGTCACACACTGAAATCTGGCATGCAGCTCTGATCACAGCCCACCTCCCAAGTGCAGTTACTGAGGCAGGACTGGAAGAATGCTGGGAATTCAGGAATTTAATCAAGCAGAACAAACACATACTTGGTCTATATGATAATGACATATATGCTGTTTGGATCAACAAATACCAGACATTGAAAAAAAATTACAGGAAATCATTCTGAACTGCCCATCCATCTCAAACTCAAAGACTTAACATTCAAACATGCTGCCAGGTGCCTGCCAGATAAAAACATTTATTGAGGGAACATACCACGTTTGAAAACATCCCAGTGGCACCATACAGTGAATACAACAGGGCAGTATGTGACTGGCTGCCTTTTTTCAGTGGAAAGGAACAACAGATGTTCCCATGGCACATTTTGGATGGGAAAAGCCATCATGCAGAAAGAGCCCCAAAACATCTTTCATGCCACAAGAATGGAGAAGAGGGTAGAAGAAGAGCCCCTGTCTGCTTTTCCTGGAAGTGATGGTGACAGCTCTTTGGCCAAGCCCCCAGTGCCCATGTTCCCTGGGCTCCCTGCCACCACCAGCACCTCTGATGGTGGAGCTAAGGTGTGAGTCCAAGTCCCAGGGCATGCAGGATGCTGTGACACCCCAGTCTGGAGCACTGCTGAGGGACACTGCCCTGACCAATTCACCATTAACAGAAATGCACACTGAGCATGTTTTCCCACCATTTCCTTCTTACTAATATTTTATTTTAATAACGTTGTCGTTTTCCAGGTGAATTTGAAAAGGGGAAAGAATGAATGTAAAAGCTGCTTTGAGGGTCCTTTGCATCACTGTTGCATCTCCCTCACAGGGACAAGAGGACAACTCACTCTGTGTTTTTGGGACAATAATTTAAATCACAGTTGAACTCCCTTCATAGTAACATGATATTGTTTATTCTTCTAAATATCAAAAAAAAATTAGGGTGCATCTCCTCAACGTTCTGGCAAAAATTCAGTCCACGGACTGTACCCTGTTTAACTCTAGACTAAATTAAGTTCCTAGTGTTTAGTTGTGTTTTTAAAATATATATTTACACAGTCAAATGGATGCCTTTTGGTCAAGATCATATAATTCTCAAAAATGTAATCAATGATGAAACATTTCTTGTCATAATACCCCAGTCCCACTGGCTGTGAAGTCATGGGTTGAAAAACAACACTGATATATTAAACTGTCTCTAAAGACTACAGATTCTTCTTTCTTCCTACAAATCAGGAGAGTGATTAGTCTTGAGAAACATTCCTTTATTCTTTTTTTTCCAGTATAACTTTCACTTGTTGTTCTTTATGTAGGATGAGTGATGAGTCCATATTATGAGCGCCACCCATATCCAAGTCTCCTGTGCTTTCCATAACATCCAGAAGTCATATATGAAGGGATTTTTACTGAAAAAAATACAAACTATTCCAAGTGAATATTATTTCCTCTGTAAAACTGTTTTTCCCCAGTTTTCTTCTATGTGTGTTTAAACAAGAACCTGCTTTAACATTTAATTTCTTCTACCAATTTACACTGCAAAAGGAGTACTACAGGTTATGGGCATCAGGTCCCGTTTAGGAAAACAGGCAATGTTGACAGTCATATGAAATTACTAAATCCAGCAGTAGTCCTTACTCCAAAATAAACTCTTTGTGTCTTTGTTTTTTAGAAGAAAGTCTGAGTTTTAGAATGAAATGCCAAGTGTTTTCTTCAGACCTACAATACACTGGACACGCCAAGGCTCAGGAAGAAAAATAAGGTTTAGAGTTCTGCCAGATATTCCGAGTAACCACTGGTTTGGACACAGGGCAGGTTGAGGCCAAGCAGCTACGACCTGAAGAACACATCTACCCAGCCCAGATCTCTCTGCTTGATAGACATTAGATGGAGAAAACAGTGGGCATTTGGGGGAGATGGAACAAAACAAGGCAAAAAGATTTCTGAAGAATTTCCCAAGCAAGAACTCACTCAGTTTGAAGTATTTTACTGAAACCCAACCAGCCCACTACCATAATTGCTACACCTTTACAAAGAAAACATAATTGTTCATTTCCAGACATTCTAACAAAGCCAGCTCCCCAGATCCATCATTACCATTTCCCATTGATCTTACACGGTTTTCTCCTGTAATCAAAAAATCTTGTTGGATTCACCCTGTTGATTTTTGCAAATGCAGCTAAAGAGCTTGAACTCAGCACAGTCCTCAAGCCTCTTAAACTGTGCCAGCAACCCAAGAGCTCTCGTGGAGCTGTGTGGGTGGAGTAAAACAACAATTCAAAAAACAGACTCCAAATGATAGTTCATCTTAGAGTACTGTGGGTTTATGCATCTTTTATTGCTTTTAATTTTAATGAAGAGATGAATAGTTTCAAAGGGATGGGAGAACTGAATGTTACAACTGATAAAAAAAGCAGCAGGGTCGGCTCCAGTAAAGTACATGACTCCCTGGGTAGTTTCAACACGCTCAAGGCCAGGCTGATGGCACAGCTCCCAAGGAGGCAGCTCCTCTCCTTCCCTGCCTTGTTCCTGTCCCTGCACCAACCTCTCCTTTGAGCCAGCAAAAGCATGTGTGTGTCCCTAGGTTGAACCAGACCAGGGAAGCGACCCTGGTTAGGACTAAACCAGCAAAAAAGCAAGTAATTGTTTGTGCTAGCAGAAAGGAAGAGGCAATACAAGAGTAGCCTTGGGAGAGAAACTGGATGCTTTTTTAGAGGCCATGCTGGCTTTAATTCTATTCAATTACATAAACTAGAGTTTACAGACATATAAATCATAGTCCTATGATCTCTTATTTAACTGAACTCTGGGGTTTCCTTAATTCTAGTTTGAACTAGAGCATATCTTTTAGCAAAATATTCCATCTTGATAAGATGCCAGCAATGGTATGCAGAACTTGCTAAGTTCTTCCATTAGTTCATAGCTTCAATGCTCAAAACATGTGCTTTATTTCCATTTTGAAACAAACATTTAACCATTGCACTTACTGTTGTGTAAGTCTAGGAGCTTGTTCTCAGTCATTCCTTTTCTACATAAAGATTAATTATGACACCTCATTTTGGATAATTTGAAGGCATATTTCTGGATGCTTTAATCTCTTTTACAACTTTTCTTTGAAATGTCTACATTTGATCTCCTTGAATGAAGGCACTAGAGGTGAGTAAAACGTTCCAGTAACACTCACTGAGTGTAACACACACTTGCACTGAGCCAAGCCCTACCACTTAACACATGGATCTCACAGGGATCTTGGTGATGGATGGATCCTGTAATTGGATGAAATGGATCTTGTTACAGAGCCTGCAATAGGCTTTAAAACATAAATGGTAGGTGCTGAATAGGGGAAAGCTACGGTTCTGGGGTCCTCTTACCTGTCACCACATGTAGAGACACAGACTGAACACACCTAGGAAGGTGCCCTGGCACACAGAAATTGATATTCACACAGTTAAGACCACTCACCCTCAAAGTGATTTTGAACTGTCTATAAGGAGCAGCTCTTTGCCCAAGCTAACTCCCACATCATGCCTAGGAACTGATGGAGGTGACAAGTCAGCTCAGGCAAATCCAATGCAAGGATCACCCCACAATTTAATAGCATAAATAATTGAGCTCTAGAAGCCAGAAACATATTCAGCACTGTGAAATGAAGGGCTTTTTGCCCTGGAACACCATCCACAATCCCAAAAGAAAGAATCTGACAACCTTTCCCCATGTTTTCAAAGTTGGCAACAGAGTGACAGTTGACTTCTAGAAAAAGTCAAATGTTTTTACTAATAAATCTAGTTACAAAGATGGCAAGATCAACATGCAGTGTCAGCTCAGCATTGCTGAGGTTCTTCTGAACCCCAGTAAAATACAGCTGTTTCTAAACACATATAACTGCAGGTCCACAGCTACAGATTTTTGGGGAGTTTAGTGTATTTTGATGAGCTTTTGTAGCATGAAGACCCCTTCAACAATATGAGAAATTGGTATCTGCCTTGTTCTCTCCATATGAAGTAGAAATAGTGGTGGGTCTTTAAGAATGTCAGAATGGGAAAGAGGACGATCATTACTTTAAAGATCTCCTTAGACTTGAATCCCATGGCAAAAACTATTTCTTTAATAAATGGGGGCAAAACTGCATCAAACAAGACCATATTTTTTTAGCAGCAGAGAAGAAACAAATCATGAGAAATACAGCTGCTCACAATGTGACATTTTTCTTCAACAAAGTCTGGTATTTTTCAAAACTTTAAACTGGGGGGGTTACACTGGCAGTACTGTCAAATGTAGTGGAGACAGAGCCAGATGTCACTGCACACAGCAAAGTGTGGTCAAACATACTAGGGGAAAAATAGAAAAAATCATGAGGAATGTTCTTCACTAAAGTTCTGTGGAAAGGTTCCTGTATACAGTGAATCACTTATGTTGCACTCAGTTCCATAATCTTGATGGAGACAAGGAATTGTGCAATAGAATTGGTTTTAGATAGGAAGAAAACAAGAAAGTGAGTCTAATTGCAAAATGCAATCCAAACATTCTGACAACCATTTCCTATCCCTGGCTTGGCACTCCTGTATGAGTTATGCACCAGACTCCACCTCAGTATCAAGCTTTTTGATGGATTTGGGTCATTTGACACAGATGAAACAGTGCTGTGGGCAGCACTCCCTGACATCAAAACTCACAAACAGCATTACTGGCACAAATTACATGAAGTAGCCACTCTACCAGCAGAAGTGAAAACATTCTACCTAGGAAATAATTCTGTGGCTGGGTTCACCCATGTGCACCCAACATACTTCTCAGTGTGACTTTTACTGTGTTTTACTGTGGGACACAAAGGAAAGCATTCAGGAAAGTTACACTTTGGCTTCACCCAGTCTTTCTGTCTTGCTTCAATTTAGGGCTTGTCTTCAGCTCTTAAAGTTATTTCACTGAGCACAGACCTATTCTGTGCATTCTGCAAGTGAGAAAACACACCCCAGCACTGACCTTTTGATGACTGTATCCTCAGGAGAATGTTAGTTATTACTGCCTTCTTCTCCCTGACAGTGGAAGTTAGATATTCATGGTCCAGAAGTTCAAGAAACAGGCGCAGCTCAACTATCAACTCTTCCATGGCTGAAAGACAAAAGAATTTTTTTTCTGAAAATATTTTTCTGAAAAGTTCCACTGGAAAAAAAGGATAAGAGTTAATTCTCATTTCTCTACATTCATAGTTATTTTCCAGCATTTCTTTAAAATGTACGGTCCTCCCTGATGAAAAGAGCCTTAAACATTATTAAACATTAATAGAACCAACAGAATAATCCATTAGTGAGCACTGCTGACATTTATAACATTTGTTCCAAACTGAAAGACACATCTTTTCACATGACACATGATGAAGCCAGCACCAGACAAGTTAGACAATAATAGAACTATTCCTAGTTCCACAAGGAATGGTGGCCCCTGGTTTTTCTCTGCCACTCTGCTTTCCCCCACCCATTAACAAACTGCAAAATAAATTTAAGGCTTGGTAAAGCTTCTAGAATTTATTTATATCTAGTATTCATTGGTATTTTAATGAATCTTTATCTCTTTTCTTCTGTTTGCTGTGGGAAGAAAGCAGAAGTATTCTTTTTTTTTTGCAGTGATTTTTCTTTTTTATGTTCTCCAAAGCCAAGCTCCCAATATGTCACATATTTTTTTATCACTCCCCAGATTCCACTCAATGCATTTCACATTTCATCTTATTCTATTATTCCAGATCTCAAAGCTTTCCAGCTCACTCTAGAAAAAATTACATTCCTTCTCTCTTTCCCAGTGCTTGTCAATTTTTTAATCAATGAACTTCATAAGCACAGTTCTACTTTTTGCCTTTCAAGCTATCCCTTAAATCTTGCATCTTCCTAAGAACTGCAGTAGCTCAGGCCATACATATAAACACTTTTGTTACAGCCTGATCATATGATATCTCTTCATCAGGTTCATGAAGAAACCCAGGGTACAGAACCACATTTTTATGCTTCAGTTCTCTCATAATTCTGAGATTCTCTGATCCCTTCACTTAAGGGGATGTACTATTATAGTTTTGTGACATCATTCCAAAATGCCTCCACTTAAATTTTTCGCTACTTAATCACATTTGTTTTTATAGCCTTTTCAAGGTCTGACTGGGCAACTGCTGCTAAGCCCCTTCAGACCTCTAAAAGGTACATTCTCTGCTGCTTACTCCCTTACCAGCTCTTCCCTACACCTACAACCTTTCTGATACAATTGTTTACCCAATTGAACCTGGAATCCTCTCTTCCATTTCTGAGAATGTGTCTGGATGTTTAAACAGCCTTTGCTTGAGATGCATTTGCTTTACCCTGCATTTGAGAAGAGCTCAGTGCAGGGAAGCCTGCAGATGTCAGCTACACTCCTGCAAGGGACTCTTGGCCTATCCTTGTCTCCAAGAAATGTAGGTTTTCACATTCATTTGGAGACTGTACCTACACTCTGACTGCTTTGGCAAAGCCAACAAACTGCTAGCAAGAACAGCAGATGTGCCAGTCAGTAATACCAGGGCATGAACACAGCTTAACAAAGAAATCCCTGAAGCAGTACGCTTGGGCAAGTATTTTCACAGAATCATTTAGGCTGTAAAAGGTTTTTAAGATCATCAAGTCCAACCACTAAACCATGTCCCTAAGCACCACATCGACGTGTTTATCATTGGCAAGTTTACCACTTTCCTGGGCAACTATTCCAATGTTTAACCACTGTTTCATGGAATGAATTTTTTATAATATCCAATCTAAACATCCCCTGGTGCAAACTGAGGGCATTTCCTCTCATCCTGTCGCTTGCTGCTTGGGGGAAAACACCGACACCCACCTGCCTACAACCTTCTTTCAGGCAGTTGTAGGTGATGTCCACCCTGAATCCCATTTTCTCCAGTCTAAACAATCCCAGCTCCCTTAGATACTGCTCCTTAAGACTTGTGCTCCAGAACCTTAACCCTTAATTTTCTCAAAGACACTATTCATTTGTACATACAAATCTATCCTGCCCAAGTTTTTCTTGGTGATGATATTCTTTTATTCAACTGAGCAGTAGCACTGCTGTTACATAAACTGTCCACATTTTCAGAAACTCTATTTCCCAAAGGCTTTGACAAGATATTGGCAGGAAGAGGGTATTTAAAACGACAGGAAAACTGTCGTGTCACTTCACAATGTAGCTCATTAAAAACATCCCATGGCTACAATGATAATTTTTTTGCCATCACATTTGTAACTAAGCTCCCTAGAAGTCTGTCAGAAATCCAAAGTATTTCACAATAACCCTATTACTTCCAGAGTTGTTCAAATTATGAAACAACAACACATATACAGCATACAGCTTTCTGAAGCACAAAGGCATGGGTTCAGATTTGCAAAGTGGTAAGTGATCATGAGACTCTAGGAGAAATAAAAAGACCATAAGAGCGAAAAAAAAAAAAAAACAACCCAAATAATGAGCTCTTATTTTTTTCTCAAATTATACAGTTTAGAGATAATATATATATTCCATTCTGTGTATAGTGGTCCCCAACTTTAAAGTATGCTTTGAATATAAAATGCATTAATATTGTTCATTTTAGTTACAGAATATATGAATATTTTAATAGTTACTTGGTATGATATATGCTTTCAAAAGCTATCATTACCATACAATCTAGGCAATCATTGTGAACCCTAATCAGTATGCAGTACCAGAAATATATATTTTTCATGCAGTTCTACAGCTATATTTATTGTTAGTAATTGCAATTACTGTTAGTAATTGCATATATTACTGCACTAATATTTCTTTGCAATGCCACGTTTCCTGATTTCTTTAAGGTGAGGGACTCTAAATAGGCTGAAAGGGAGCTCTCCCTTCACCTCTTCACCAAAGAATACCATATGCCACAGTCACCTCATTTTTTGCTGAGAACCTTCACTTCCAGTAAGGGAAAAAAGGATGAAAGCATCAGATACCTTTGATATGCAAAGTGTACACAACTGTGTCAAGTTCTCAGAAATTATCAGATCCTTGTTCTCAGGATCTTATATTCTAATATAAACAGATGGATTGCACAATGAGAAATGAAAACAGAGCAAGAGGGAGTGGCCAGAGAAGGAGACAGGGAAGCAAGAGGACAAGAGATAGGAAACCTCTACTGGAGAGACTTGTGGGAGCTGGCACCAGCCCAAATCCCTCCTGATTGTACCATAAATGCGTGGCTTTTCTCTATGTCTTAGGAGGAAATCTGCATGGCAGTCCCTGGAGACCCCTTCCCATTGACCTAATGACCAGCCCACCAAAGGTACTGGAAGAAATTCAATTGCCCCAGCGAGGATTTAAAAGCCAAAGCTTTGGTTAGGACGGGTAAGAGGATGGGAAGATGAACCTGATACCGGTGAGGCAATACTTGAAAACATGCCAAAACACAGCCTTAGCAACACCTCCACATGCCCTGCACGTTCCCTGCCCTGGTGTCCAGCCCTGCAGCCCCCAGGTCCAGCAGTGCATCCCCAAGGAATACACAGAATGGCAAGACTTGCTCCTCCTGCCTCGGGAAGCTCACAGGTCTATGACACTGGCTTCAAGCCATAAATGCTAATTCACTATTTTAGTGTGACAACAGAATGAAATTGTTAGCAGCTGTTAAAAAACGCTAGACATCAACACTTAGACATTGTTTCTACCAGGATTAAATTAGGGATGTATTTTCTTTTGTGGGAGTTAATAGCATCATAAATATGATGAAGTGTGAAGGAAAAAAGTTCTGAATTTCTCTTCATATACGCATTGATATTGAACATCCAAACGGAAAGAAGGGAAACAGTGTTCCCAGCTAGCAAGAAACACTCTTTCCACTTACCCCAAAAGCATACTTTCCTCTGTTAGTACTTTTGCTACTTAAGGAAAGAGGAAAAACACTGCCCTGGAGCGTATTGAAATAAAGTATTGAAAACTCTTTTTTCCAAGATGGCAACAAATAAACTTGTATGTTCAGGGGAAGAAACAATTTTCCCTGTTGTCAATCCTTGGCTGATTTTCTGGATTAAAAAATCTTATTTTCTCCTTCCTAGAAATGTGATGATGTGCTCACAAAAAAAACATAAAAAAAAATAATGGAACTGAATAACAGAAAATCTACATATTTTCAGTAAGCAATCATTTCTTAAATGGAGACTCAAAAGGAGCGGGTGATGCAAGTCCCAAAGAAAAACATACTCCTCCAGTGAGAGATTACCCTTGGAAATCTGACATCACCACAAAGAAAGAATAATAATCAGAAGAAGGCTCTCAAAAAGGGGCCAATTTATTTGACAGTTTTGGCTGTATTCTCATTGCCAAAGGAATTACTGGTAAGTGGCAGGTGGTGAAAGGCAGGGTGGAGCCCAGGGATAGCAATCACAACAGTAAGCTGATTTTAGCTTGACTGAGGAGCAAAATCACATTCCACATTAAATGATGAGAAGTCCATTCTATGCTCAAAAGGAGTTATAGGCCCCTAATGGGTCGCTGTAATTGCCATGCACAAATAAAAAAACAATGATAAATCCAGAAGGGTTTCCAAGACCAGCTCTCAGGAATTTTAAAGTTTTTCAAATGGCAGCACATAAAAACTATATACATAAGCCAGCAACAGAATACACCAAGGTAAAAATAATCAGAGAAAGGCAATTACATCACACTGCAGATTTTGTTCCAAACCAGAACTAAAACCAAATGGGACTAAAAATGCATGATGATGCAATTATTCCAAATCTATGTTTACGGGTACTAGCCTATAACCATTTTTTAAAATAATATAGTTTTCACTTCCAGTTGATTAGAAAAAAATCGTAGGGGTGGTTCTGTATCACATGTATGATTTCAAGTTTGCTTAAACCAGAAGAAATAACCAGAATGAGCTCATTAGAAAAATGAGATTGTTTTTGCTCAGTCCTAGCAATTACAGTATTTCTTAACCTTGCCATAGCACAAATGACCTGAAAGGTTTTTTTCAGTTGACTAATATACATTAGTGAACTTTTAAAGAAAAAGAAATGCAAGTCCAGAGAGGAGGACAGGAAGTATGTTTATTAATTATTGTGTTGTCCATACAGCAAAAAACTCCC